TCCGGCGATCCTTCTGCATCAGCCTTTCGAGTAGCCGGAATTACAGGCATGCGCTACCACGTCCCGGCTGATTTTTTGATTTATTGTAGAGATGAGGTCTCGCTGCCCAGGTGGGTCTCGCACCCGCGGGCTCAGGCAATCCACTCACCTCAGCTTCTCAAAGGCGCGGGATTACAGGCTGAGCCACCGAGCCCGGCTATTCCCATGAATCTTTAATTCCACAACCTGGCAGAGGGCTGAGCCCGCTGAGCCAAGGTTTGCTGACCTCTGGTCCACTTTGCAACATCCAAGGCTTTCCAAACTTGACTGTACACTGAAATTACCTAGAGGCATCACAAAATACATATGGCTACATCCTATCCCCATAGTTTGTGAATTAATTAGCCTGGTATATGGTTTATGCTTTGGGATTTTAAAACAATTCCCAGAGTGTAAAAAATAAATAAAATTAAAAGATTCCCAGATGGTTCTAAATATGCAGGCATATTAGGAGACCACTGCTCTATGCTGCCTCCACAATTCTCTTCTTAAAATGCATTCATGGCCGGGCTCGGTGACTCAGCCTATAATCCCAGCACTTTGGGAGGCCGAGGCAAGTGGATTGCCGGGGTCTGGAGGTTTGAGGTCAGCTGGGGCAACTTGGTGAGAGCTTGTCTCTACAATAAAAAAACAAAAAAATTAACCAGGCGTGGTAGCATGCACCTGTAGTTCTGGCTACTTGGAAGGTTGAGGCAGAAGGATCGCATGAGCCCAGCAGGTCAACACTTGGGGTGGCTGTGAGCATGCCACTGCACTCCAGCTTGGGTGACAGAGTAAGACTCCAACTCAAAAACAAAACACAAAGAAAAAGCACATCCGGTCCTGACCCCAGTGTGCATGAAGATAGCCACAGTTAACTCCTCACTTGACATCCTCAATAGGCTCTTAGAAACTGGAATTTGCAATGAAATGACATTGTCAAGTCCTGGAATAATAATATTTCCTTCAATGCTATCTTATTATAATGTGTTGAAAAACAATTGGTTTCATTTTATGTCATTTCACCAAACTCCCAGTTTCCAAGAACCTACCAATGATGTTAAGTAAGGACTTACTGAACAGACTTTCCCTTGACCATCAAATTTAGTTTCTGCCTGATAAATCCCAAATATTGCCTTTCCCGATCTCCCCAGGCAGCATTCATCCCTGGTACTTCCACAGTACTCCATTATGTTTACCTACCCACTCATTCATTCACTTATTCATTCTTTCACTCATTTGCTCAATACATAGACACATGAGCACTCTCTGTGCACTAGCACTCTCTAGGCGTTATATACATGTGAATGCTATTCAGTTTTTTGCAGTCTCTGCTTACATTCTGGCATCCATACCTTGATTAGCACTAATAGAAGTATAATTAGTGTAATTATTATGCAACATATTAGTTGTAACTATCAAAAGATTGGAAGCTCCCTGACCATACACTGGTCATCTCTGTATGTTCTCTGCCAAAAATCAGCCCACAGAAAGCACTGAAGGAGTGACTGTTAAGTGTATGAATGCAGCTATTTTATAACTTGTGAACTCAGCATGTTTTAAAGCAAGTAGTAGGCAGGCAATGAGAGGCAGCCTGTTAGGAGGACAAAATTGGTGACAAAAGGTTCAGAAGACCTCAGGTCTATCCAGCTCTGAACGAAACAATGTGAACAATGTAATACCATGGTAAAGAGACTGAGGCTTTGAGGTCACACAGCCTCACATCCTAGCTGACTGATGTTATCACTCATGAAACGCTGAACCTTTCATTTTTGGCTGGAACTTCTGTTTCCTCATCTTTAAAATGCTGATAGCAACAGCACCTACTTCCAGGTGCTAAGGACTATATAAGAGTAAAATATGTAAAGTGCTTAGTACCTTATGCACAGTATGTAGTCAATAAAGGTCAGCTGTCAACAGTCATTATCACTATTATTACTGTCATAATTGTTAATACTACTGTTATAATTAGAATCTTTATCACAGCACTTGACATATGGAAATCATTAACAAATGACAGCGGGTATTTTGTTACTGACATTATTTCTCTCCTCTCAATACAGTGCCACCAACCACGTGTGGACCTTGAACCTACCACAAGTGACCTCTCTGAGTGTTCACATCTTGAACAATAAAGTAGGAGCAGGGTAGGGCATATATTGTTTTTAACAGCCCCTCCCACCTCTGGAATGTTCATTCAAGGTATTTATTCTGGAAACATTTCACACACTGCAACATGAGAACTTGGCTGTGGGGTAGAAGTCTCCCTGGGCAGTTATCCGAAAGGAGGGATCAGAGCATCCCTGCTCAGTCAGCTGTGTCATTCAAGAAGGGATTAGGAGAAGTTGGAGCTAGAAACACATTTCGGTGAAATAGAAAACCCAGGTAGAGTTAACAGACTCAGTTGAAAGTGGCTAATTGAAAAAGGATTGGATCAGGGCTTTCAGGAAATTCATTCTATCCAAATTAAATTATAAAAAGGAACCTGCCCTGTTTTAAGATTTAGAAAGCTTGATGCTGAGTAGGGAATAGTATGCATTCAGCAAGAGACAGGGAATTAGGAAAGTCAATAATGTTTTGTGCTGCAGATGTTGGAAGCACCTGTAATAGCAAAGAATAAGCTCCTTAGTTTGAATTTTCTGGCATTCATTTATGAAGCCTCTGGAGTCTGCAGCCACAATGAAAACATATTATCCTTTTCACAGTGTATGTATTTAGCTCCTGAAAATAATCTTCTTATCTCCTGTTTAGTGAATTATCACTTTCATTTTCCTCCACAAAAAATTACACACTAATAGAGGGCTCTAAGAGTTTACAATTTCTTTTTTGTATTCTGATTTAAAAATTGAAAAGTAATCTCCTTACTCCTTGAGCTCAGCCAGTGAAGCCGAAATCCTAATGTCATGGCCCAGTAAGTACAGAGATGTAATTAAATCACTCCACTGAACTAATTCACCAAGAGGGCCACCACTGAAAGCTGTCTCCGCAATCTTAAATCCAGATTCCTTGGTCAGGAGTCCCAGGTGAACGAGGACCTGGAAAAGCAAACAAAGAGGCATAAACTGATTCATAGTGAACCACATACAAATTCCAAAAGTAATGCACCAACAAGCAATCACCAATCCCAGAGTCCTGTTCACATCCTAATGAAATCCTAATGTGAGGATGACACTTTACTGCAAGGTGCAAAGAAAGGAAGGAAATCATTTTTCATCGTTGTTTTAGAGAAATAAAATAATTGCTACCCTTGGCATAGCTATAGGCTTGAGATATGGACAGATACTCCTGCTTTTAAAAAGCAAAGTACATTTATAAAATAAGGACAATATAATATCTTTTAACAATATTGGGCTTTTAACCACAGCTGAAATATTTTTAACCTCCTATCATGAAAAATGCCAAACATGCAGAAACTCAAACATGACAATATAGTCAATGCCAATGTAGTCATCACATAGCTTTAACAGTTATTAATCATGACAAATATTACTTAATCTATAGCTCTCATTTTCTCCCAAACTTTCTAGACTATCTTGAAGCAAATTCCAGACACCATATCCTTTCTTCTGTAATTATTTCAGTATTTTTTCTATGACTATTTCAGTTTTCTAAAAGAAACAAATCTTCACTTAAAAAATATAACCCTAACATCCCTTAAAAAAAATTATAACAACAAATAATTCCTCAAGATCATCTGATATCCAGTTAGTATTTACACTTCTACGACTGTCCCTTTTTTTTTTTAAAGTGCAGTTATGTGATTCAAGAGTCAGAGGGCATATATTATAATTGTATCATATGTGTATTAGCTTCCTTTAAGCTATATAGTCCACCATCAGCCTGTTTTTTGGTGGGATGGTGTAATTTATCAAAGAAACCGGATTATATTTCCAGTAGTGTCTTCCAACGCTTGATTTTGCTGATTGTAATCCTAAGGTACTATATGTATAACAGATTCTTCTGTCCCTTGTATTATGCTGAATTACTAATTAGATCTAGGGACATGACCAAATTTTTTTAGCAATACTACTTCATAGGTGGTGATGTGTATTTCCATGGGTAGAAACAATGTCTTGGTGTCTCTGTTTTGGGATGTTAGGAGCCATTGATGATTACTACCTAGATCCATTAACCCATTAAGGATTGCAAAATGGTGATATTCTATCATTCCTTCTTCATGTATAGCTGGAATACTTCTATAAAGAGAAACTAGCCTTCATCAATTATTTGGTCACCCTGAGGTAACCCTAAGGGTTACATAGAAGGAGCCTGGTGAATACTTGATTCTTTCCTTTTATTTACCAGTTTTCAGAATAATAAATCTTTATTTTTCCTTTTAGCATACTCTGTAATTCATGAGGTTGTGCTTCATTTCTTTAAAATATATCATTACAGCTGGGCTTGGTGGCTCAGCCTGTAATCCCACGCCTTTGGAAGGCTGAGGTGGGTGGACTGTCTGAGCCTGTGGGTTCGAGACCTGCCTGGGCAGCGAGACCTCATCTCTACAATAAATAAAAAAAAAAATCAGCCGGGCATGGTAGCACATGCCTGTAATTCCGGCTACTTGGAAGGCTGAGGCGGAAGGACTGTCGGAGCCCAGCAGGTTGAGGCTGCGGTGGCCGGGAGCGGCCACTGCACTCCAGTCTGGGCAACAGAGTGAGACTCCAACTCAAAAAAA